CTGAATAACAATCCATTGTGTGTATATATCACATGGTACTTATCCATCTATATATCAATGGACCCTGTGGTTGCTTCTATTTTTGGTATTGTGGATAATGCATGTGGGTGTGTGAACATCTCTGAGATCCGCTCTCAGTCCTTTAGGGTATGAACCTATTCAAGAGAGTATTGCTGCATCCTGTGGAGGAAGTACATTTTAGAGCATGCATAGTTTAGAAAAATTCTTAAAAGATATATTCTAAAGCAGCAAATATCCACAGATTGAAAATCCGGCCAATTTCATCTTGAAACTTCACTGGTACAGAAGCACCCCACAAGACTTTTGTAAGATCAAGTGGCTTCTGTGCTGTTCCCAGAGATTTCAGCTAATAGGGGTCCGATTGTATTCTAGGCTTGCATTTGTGTGGGTCTCTCAATCACAGGATCAAGTGTAAGAGATCCATAGTCTAACCCAGGGTTAACCCAGAACCCAGCCCAAGAAAACAACGCTGCACTTCAGGAATGGAACAAAGAGAAGCGTCTTCAGTGAGCAGGAACAGAACACTAGGGTGCCAGATGTAACCTATTTCCCTTATCTGGCCCACAGCCTTCCTCTTCCTGTCCGGATGGATGTAATGACAAAGGAAAAGTATCTCCATGTCTTCCTCAGTGGAGAAAATCAGAACATCTTGTGATGATGGTTTTAGCATTTGAGGGTAATTTGCACCCGAAGTTCTGCTCAGTCCAATTTAATTTCTTTGAAACACTGTTCTTTAAAAGGACTTATGAATCCTTGCAGTTCGTACCAGCCTCTAAAACAACCACACTTCCAAGCCAATTAATATGGTATTGAAATTCCTCTCAACTCAATCCACCTCACTGCAGAAAGAATGCCAGCATTCTGCACACACAGACTAGCAGAGACTCAAGCACAGACCTCGTACTGTGTTCTGAGAAGTGAGCAGCTGAGACACAATCATTTGGTGTTGGGGACACTTGGAGAGAAAGAGTGGTGTTCCCTACAATGAAGAAAGGGCACATTTTGGGTCAGGGCTAGCTATTCTACCCTGACAAAGCTGGGAATGCTTCACATGTGGCATTGAAGACACTGTCTCGTTCACATACTCATTAACAGTATCACCTTTCATTACTGGGGAACTACAGATAATGAAAATTAATCAAACAAAACCCCTTTTGACATAGTCCTCAAGGGTGATGTCATCAACGTTGAATAGGTGACAGCTCTGCTCTGTATGTACTGTAAATTCCCAGAAAGACATCTGTCAAAAAGACGCCAGCTCCCTTGCTTGGAACAAAAACTAAGCATGCTTTCTCACTTGCAGAATGTCTTTTCCATACCTGGAGTGACTGTTGCTTGCGAGCCCCTTACCTAAGCATTGCTGTGTTCTCCACTCATAGCCCAGACTTCCACTAGGCAGCCATTCACCAGTCCCAAGAGGAGAATGGATAAGCAGTTCCTCCCATCCTGCCGGCTCTGCTTTCTCTTTCCTGCCTGACGCATCTCTTTCTAAGCTGTCATATGCTCCTGCCATCTTCTTGTGTACAGATGTATATCATTGTCATCTATGGAGCCAAAGGGCCAAAGCACATTCTCAATAGTTCTTGAATCCAGTTCTTAGATCCTCATATGTCTGTGTCAAAGTTTGGTGTGTGTAAAAATCATCAGGGAGGCCAGGCGGTGGTGGCGCATGCCTTTAATCCCAGCACTCGGGAGGCAGAGCCAGGTGGATCTCTGTGAGTTCGAGGCCACCCTGGGCTACCAAGGGAGTTCCAGGAAAAGGCGCAAAGCTACACAGAGAAACCCTGTCTTGAAAAACCAAAAAAAAAAAAAAAAAAAAAAAAAATCATCAGGGGAGGCCAGATGGTGGCTTATTAGGCAAAAACATGCAAACCTGACTACCTGAGTTTGATCCCTGGAACCCATGGTAGAAGGCAAGAATGGACTTCCAAAAATTGTCCTCTGATCTCCACATATGTGCTGAGGCATGTGTGTGCCCACACCTCACATAATCAATCTCTCTCTCTCTCTCTCTCTCTCTCTCTCTCTCTCTCTCTCTCTCTCACACACACACACACTTCAATAATAATGATAATAATTTTTAAACTGAATCTTGAATTTATAAAACATAACCATCAGAGAACAGGGATTCCCATTTATTAGAGCCCAGTGAACTGCTTTTTAAAGAGTACCATGCCAGGCTTCCCCTCACTTTAAGAGGTCATATGGCCGCGTGATGACAGCCCAGCATTTATGCTCCAGCCCTGGGCTTAGCTTAGTTAGTGAAGGGGTTGTTTGTAAGGTGCACACAAGTGGTGGTGCTCAGCTTCCTCCAAGTCTGAGAGGAGCCCCAAGTTTCTGTAAACACAGTTTGCCAAATAATTTTCTGGAGCTAATCATTACAAGAAACCTATTCAGTCAATAAAATCTAGTCACGTTTTTTGTGTGGCTCAACATAATTAAGGGCGGAAGTTCCTGTTTGGGGTGTTCCGGACGGCTGTGAACCTTGACTGACAGATTGGAAAGGTAGAAAGTTTCAGAGAAATGCCAACTTCCGCGGAGCTGTGTGAGCTGGGAAACTAGCCAACCCCTCCCCTCTGGCCCCAGTTTTCTCATGGTAAGAGAGCTATGCTTTACCTCTCACAGGTCTCAGGAAGGTAAAGGACCTAAAACACTCCCACAGGCTCAAATGACGAATGACAATGACGTGCCACCTTTGAGAGCAAACGTGGGAATTTAACAAAGGGCTCTGGCACCCCTCTGAGAATGGAGATGTATTTGGAAAGTGTCCCTGGAGAGAGAGGAGTGAAGCTGTGTAGAGCACACACTGTGAGTCTCATGCTGTCTTCCATCCCTTTGCCAGGAGCATCATTATTCTCGAAAGCATTAGCAGAAGTCCTGGGAAGTCCTGGGAGCTACGTGATGCCCTACAGGGAGAAGGGAGCAGACACAGCTGTGTAGTGGCTGGGACCACAGAAAGGAGACTAGGTGGGTAAGGCAGGGGGTTAAAGAAGAACCGGCAGTGGGTAGTGATCCCAATTCTAGCATCTTCACGTTTTACAATTACACATCACAGAGATGGGTGTGGTGGCCCATGCCTGTAATACCAGCACTTAAGAGGCTGAGGCAAGAGGATTACCGTGAGTTCAAGGCCAGCCTAGGCTACAGAGTGAGACCCTGCTTCAAGCAAGCAAGCAAGCAAGCAAGCAAGCAAAAGTTACTCATTGTGACTGCATAGCTAATAGATTACTAAACTCATATAAAACTCATCATTACGTCACAAGGCTAAATTTGACAGTCCCTCTGCAAGGAGTCATTGCTTTGAGCTGAGTGTTTGTTAGGACCATTCTCTATGCATGTCCATACAGGTGTCTGGACTCCTGGAAAACACAAAGAGCAATTTTACATATGTGCATATGTGTTCTGTGTGTGTCTTTAAAAATACAAGCAAGATCCTGTCACACGCATTCTTCTGAAAATCATTTTACACTGGCCAATGCATGTTGGAGGTTCATTGTTGCCTAGACAAACAAATCTACTTTGCCAGATTTAATTGCTGTAAACCTTTAGAGCTAGGGGCAACTTCTTGCCTGTGGAGTCATCCCTTAATGGATGGATATTTCCATGGTCTCTGTTCATTTGCTGCAAGAACAGCAAGTCCTCCTTGTGTGCCTCCTTGTCTGTGCTTTAGTTAGTGTGTGTTAGATGCCTTTTATACTGGGGCCCTGCTCCAAGGGATGGTGCTGCCCAGATTCAGGGTGGGTCCTTCCCCTCAGTTACTCATTGGCAGCACCCTCACAGATAGGTCAAGAGGTGTGTCTTTTAGGTGATTCCAAACCCAGTCAAGTTGACAATGATTAACCTGGACATATGTGTTTTATATACTGTACATTGTTTTGTTCCATGTAATGCCCACTCTATAAAGGTTCTGCTATCGTTCCTTTACCAGATGAGAAGACTGTGACTGACAAAACCTGTGGCCATTGTGATATGGTGTACAGGGTTTAAAAAAGATTTGTTTATTTTATGTGTATGTTTGCATATGTTTATTTGTACCACGTGTGTAGAGAAGCCCACAGAGGCCAGAAGAGGGGGTCAGAGTCCTCAAAACTGGAGTTACAGATGGTTTTAGCTACCATGTAGATGCTGGGGACCAAACTCTGGCTCTGGGCTAGCACTCTTAACTACCGAGTCATTTCTCTAGTTCATACGACATACAGTTTCATATTGCTGAACAACAGAATGAAGGGATACGTGTAGTGGGTGGCTGTTTGAGCCATGCCCTGAAGCACCACCTCTAGTGGGGTAGTAGATGGCTGTTACACCTGCCTATGACCTTGAGGTACATGCCCCTGGGGTGTGGCCGCTGAGGGACCCTTAAGACCTGGGATGCATGTACACGGCTCTGTCTTAGCTACCTTGTGGTTTAGATGCTGAGATCTTGGCCAAGCAGATCAGTGTGGGACATAGCTCAGCTTTCCCGCACCCTATGATAAATCTCCAGTGGTTGTGAGTTAGTTAACCCCCAAATAAATTCCTTTGATCATTAAGCTGACTCTGTGGAGTGCTAGCGATTTAATTCCAATAGATACGTTCTGAGAAACGCGATAGCAGGTGAGTCTGTGACTGTGCAAACCTGCAGAGCATACTCACACAAACCTAGATGGTATAGCCAACAACAACAACAACAACAACAACAACAACAACAACACACACACACACACACACACACACACACCCCTGTCGCTGCTAGGGTCATGAGAGACAAAACACAAGATGAAATCAAGCATAAGCAAACGCCTTGCAGTGGTGTGATACAGTAAATAGGAGCTGTCTGAACTGCTTCCTGCACAGGACAGTGTACTGTAGTCAACTGTGTTTTTGTAAGTACAAGTTCACTCTAAAATAACAACCAAGAGTGCAGTACACTAAGAACACAAACTGTAAATGCAAAGCAAACACAGTCGTTTATTGCTATTACCGAGTAGTAACTGAACATGTTTTGCTTTTATAGCGCTGGCAGCATGGCAGATTTGTTGACATCCACACATGACCCACAGAGTGCGTGACGACATGAGGATGGCTACAGCATCCCTAGGCAACAGGAACCTTTGAGCTCTTCCATTCTGTTCTTATGGGACCAGCACCCTCTGTGTGGTCTGTCCTTGGCAGGAATGTCAGTATGCAGTTCGTGACTGCACATCCGTCTTTTTGCTCACCAGCTCCTGGCTTGAAGTCCTTATAGTCTTTGTAATTTCCCAAATGATTTTGAGCAAGAAGGGCACTTTTGAGGGTCAAACATTTGTTCTTTTGTCCTTGGTTCTCCAGAGTGACGAAAGTGACAGAGAAGCTATTGTTTTTTGGGGGCACCCTTGCAAGCACACAGGAGATGATATTTTGGAAAGCCTCTAGAATAAATACTGGGTGGGAGGGATGGTTGCCAAAGGAGCCAGCTAGACTCAGAGGGCTGCAACCCTCATTCCCACTTCTCAACATCCTTGGAGGGAAGAGAGGCTGAGGGTTAAGTTGGCCATCAATGGCCAATGCCTTCATTCACCATGCCTATCTAATGACACTTCCACAGGACTCCCCAAAACGATCAGGTTGGAGAATTTTGAAAGCTTAATACATGGAGGTTCCTGGAGGGTGACACGGAAGCACCCCACTCCTTCTCCCATGTCTTGCTTTGCACCTCTCCATCTGACCCTCAGTTCAAGCCTGGTCTTGTGGCTGTCATCTGAGGTAAGGTAGGAGGTAGTCTTTGGTACTGAGCTCCCAACCTGTGGCCTCTCCAAGCAGACAGTGTCAGTGAAGCTGAGTTAGAAGGCGCTCCGCAGGTGTCTGCTGCAGAACCAAGATGGCCTGCTTGGTGGGCAGGAGCCCTTTTCTCCTGATATCTGCTTCTGCTGAGTGAGAGGACCGGAGGTGAGTTTGTTTTATCCCTTTATCCTCAGTGCAAATGTAGTTGGGGTGAACTCCAGAACCCACTCTCTGAAATACTGCTAAATGACCATGCACATACCACCTTGATTTGTTTTTCTGGAAGCAATGTAGCCTGCCATCTCTTCTTTTCACGAGTGGGACAGTCCTTTAAGGGCCTTCTAACCTGTAACTACACCCCTCCCTGCACTATGGTCCCTGCACGGTATGACGTTCAACAGTGAGGATCTAACCATGTTATCATTAAGCTTCATGGTGGGAAGAATCCCAGGCTGGCCTCATGCATGATCTCCACCACTCCAATACCCATCATTGCTCTGGTGACTGATACATCCATCACACAATCAAAGTGATTGTTCAGATGTAGTTAAGGGGACTGTCTTAGTTAGGATTACTATTGCTGTGATGAAACAAAAGCGACTTGGGGAGGAAAAGGTTTATTTCACACGTAGTTCCATGTTAAACTCATCATCAAAAACAGTCAGGCCAGGAACTCAAGCAGGGCAGGAACCTGGAGGTGGGAGCTGACACAGAGGCCATGGAGGAGTGCTGCTTACCGGCTTGCTCCCCATGCCTTGCTCAGTCTGCTTTCTTATAGAACCCAGGACTACCAGCCCAGGGGTGGAACCACCCACAATGGGCTGGGTTCTCTCCCATCAATAACTAATTAAGAAAATGCCCTACAGGCTTGCCTACAGCCCAGCGTTATGGAGGTATTTTCTTAATCAAGGCTCCCTCCTCTCTGATGACTTTATCTTGTGTCAAGTTGACATAAATCTAGCCAGCACAGTGACTAATCAGTCGACCTTAATATAGAGAGTTTCTCCAGGTGGGTCTGCCTGATGAAGCCAGCCTTTGACAAGCAGAATTTTCTCTCACTGCTAGCAAAGGATGATGCCAGGATGATTCGATGCCACGAGGACTGGGTGATTCTGACCTGCCATCACTGCTTTAAATGGGGCAGACACTGCCACGTGGGAAGAATCTGTAAGAGGCTGAGAGAGGTTCTAATGAAGGCCAACAGGAAGATGGGGTCGTCAGTGCTACAATGGAAATGAAGTGGTTTCTGGAAACACATCTGAATGGGTCTGAAGTGGCTTCCCTCTCCATCCCGAACTCTAACCAGCTGAAACACCCTTAGCTTGGGGCACTCTGAGTAGTCAAGCCAAGTACAACCTATGACCTTCAGAAAAGTGAAATCATGTGTGGGTGTTGCTTTTAGTTACCAAGTTCACGGTAACCCATTTTTATAGCAATAAAAAACATATCCCTACCAGGTTTCTAACCCTTCAATAAAAACGTCTGCTATAGGCTTACCAGGTCCTGCCATTTAATCCTTATAGCAGTCACTTTTGAAATTATCCCTTAGGTCACAGGAAGTAAAAGCACCCAGTGTAAGTAAAAGCACCCAGCACCTGCAACTATGCTTCTGATAAATTCAAAAGCATATGCATGGCATTGAAGACTCTTCTTGACCTGGCTTCTGTCAGTTCATCCCCGTCCGATACTTCTGTCATTTAACTCCTTGTAGCCCGGTGACTGCCACGCTGTCTTGATTCTTCAGTTTGCACATTGATTCCTTCTGCCTGCCGTGTGTCCCTCCCCCTCCCCCATCTCTTTGTCCTTTGGAAAGTTCAATTTCTTTTTCTGTCTTGCCCTAGATGGTACCTCCGATGGGAAGCCTTTGTGGACTCTCCCAGATGGGGTCTATACTGCTGTACAGCATCCAGGCATGCTCTCCTAATGCATAGCGATTTCCGTGGTCAGAACACAGAAGCCTTGGTGTTGGAAATGTTTACTGAGCTACAGCGAGCTCCTTGTAGGTCAGGAGATATGCTCATCATCACACCACCGGACTTAGAGCACAGTAAGAACTCAGCAAATGTTCCAGGAAGGAATCATTCTATCGACAAAAGTACTTTACAAGAAATAGTGAGACATCCAAGGTCTTGAGGCAGGGGAGTGAGCTGTCAGATCTGTGCTTCCCAGGACAAGCTCAGAACAAGCCTTGTACTGAGAGGGTTTAAGAAGAAGCTCAGCATTGTGACTTTGGATTTGTGTTCTGATACTCGACTCTTAGCATTCTATATGCCAGAAAACAGCAGAAACAGTCATAGTAATGGCCCCAGTTTCCCCATTGGAAGCAGGACTGGTGATTAATTTAGGCCTGGACCCCAGACTCCCTCTGTAAGTTTTTCTGTCAAGAAGGCTGTGGGAAATGGAGATGAGGGTCCACAGTTCCGATCTATGGGGAACTGAGCACGACTCAGACCACTGCACATCTGCTCAAGGATCCCACTGTGGTTGAGGAGGACTGGAAGGCTTAAGAGACAGAGCTTACAAACCTTAGCTGGTCAGGTAGTGGATCACAACGTCTCCACTAGAAACTGTTGGGTGCCTCAGTTTCTCCGCCTGTGCAAAGTGCCGTGTACAGAGGGGGCTAGCTACCCTGAAGGACCAAGACCAGAGGTACCTGGGAGCGCTGGAAAAGCAGGAAGTCGGGTTAAGGTGTTTCCAGCCAGTTCTCCACGGGAGGGAAGGCTGAGCCGAGGGGGGCGCAGAGCTGATGCCAGGTGAAGCCTGGGCTCAAGGCCTTGTGGCAGAGAGCTTGCCGAGTCCTTCTTTGCTCTGAGTGGAGAAAACTAGGAATTGGACTCCCGACGCCAGAAACCCGAGCCAGGGGCAGACCCAGCGGCGGGGCTGGGAGGGGCGAGTCTGGGCGCCGCGCCTGCGGTGCTCTCAGCCGCAGCTCAGGGCGCTGGGGGCGGGAAGAGGTGGAGCCAGGTGGGGAGGAGCAAAACCCGGAGGCCTCGGGCACCGCGGGCAGAGCCAGAGCCGCTGGAACCCCGGCGCCCGCACGCTGCTTCGGGAGAGCCCGCCGTCCAAGCCGAAAGCAGCTGCTGCTGCCGGAGCCGCCGCCTGATTTCAGTGCACAGCGAGGGAGAAAGGCTAGTGACGCCGGAGACCCGGTCACGGATTCTCCTTCAGTTCGGGAGCTGCCAGGTTGCCGCGCTGGCCCTGCCGCCCCAGTAGCGCCTAGCCGGATCTGCCCCTCGCGTCCCAGTTAACACCATGGATCCTTCGGAGAAGAAGATATCGGTGTGGATCTGCCAAGAGGAGAAGCTGGTGTCCGGCCTCTCCCGCCGCACCACCTGCTCAGACGTGGTGCGGGTGCTTTTGGAGGACGGCTGCCGGCGGCGACGCAGGCAGCGGCGGGGCCAGCGACGGGGGATGGCGGAGGACCCCTCCAATCAGTTGGAGCAGCCCGAGCCTCCTGACGAAAACGACGAGGATGACGACGACGACGCGATTCCCCAGGGCATGCTATGTGGGCCCCCGCACTGCTATTGCATCGTGGAGAAGTGGCGCGGCTTTGAGCGCATCCTGCCCAACAAGACGCGAATCTTGCGCCTCTGGACCTCCTGGGGCGACGAGCAGGAGAATGTGCGCTTCGTGCTGGTGCGCAGCGAGGCGTCGCTGCCCAACGCCGGGCCGCGCAGCGCCGAGGCGCGGGTAGTGCTCAGCCGCGAGCGCCCCTGCCTGGCCCGGGGAGCCCCGGCGCGGCCCAGCCTGGCTTTGACCCAGGAGAAGCAGCGGCGGGTGGTGCGCAAGGCCTTCCGCAAGCTGGCCAAGCTCAACCGGAGGCGCCAGCAGCAGCCGCCGTCGCCTTGTTCGTCCACGTCGTCGTCCACCGCCTCGTCCTGTTCGTCGCCGCCTCGGACCCACGAGAGCGCGTCGGTGGAGCGCATGGAGACGCTGGTGCATCTGGTGTTGTCGCAGGACCACACTATCCGCCAACAGGTGCAGCGGCTGCGGGAGCTGGACCGCGAGATCGACCGCTACGAGGCCAAGGTGCACCTGGATCGCATGCGGCGGCACGGAGTCAACTACGTGCAGGATACGTACCTGGTAGGGGCTGGAATCGACCTCGACGGGCCGGCCCCTGGAGAGGAGCCCGAGGAGGCGACGCTGGCGGAGAAGGGGACGGAGGCGGTGGCACCCCTGGACAGCGAGGCTCAGGCGGCTGCACTGGAGGAGCTGGCCCGGCGCTGCGACGACCTGGTGCGGCTGCAGGAGGAGCGCGCCCAGCAGGAGGAGTTGCTGGAGCGCCTGTCCGCCGAGATCCAGGAGGAGCTGAACCAGCGGTGGATGAAGCGGCGCAATGAGGAGCTGGCGGCTCGAGAGGAGCCCCCGGAGCCCGACGGCGGTCCGGATGGCGAGCTGCTGCTGGAGCAGGAGCGGGTTAGGACGCAGCTCAGCACCAGCCTTTACATCGGGCTGAGGCTCAGCACGGACCTGGAGGCTGTCAAGGCTGATCTGGATTACAGCCAGCAGCAGAGGGACATCAAGGAGCGCGAGCTGCAGGGCCTTCTCCAGACTTTGCGCACTTTGGAGCAGACGGTGGTGAATGATGGGGCTGTGGGTTGCGGCGGACCCTCGCGGGAACCTCAGCCTCAGACCTGTGCAGAGATGTGGGTAGACCAGGCCCGGGGACTAGCTAAGAGCTGCCCCGGCAACGATGAGGACTCGGATACTGGGCTAAGCTCCATGCATAGCCAAGACTCGGACTCGGTACCCCCTGTGTGTGAATCCCTTGTGTAGAAGTAGTAGGGAGCAAGTCTAGACGCTTGCAGTCTGCACTGGCCCAGCCTGCTCAGGGACATGAAGTGAGGCGGTGGGATGAGCTCAGAGTTCCCACGGATGGGTCTCAAGAGTGGAGAGGACAACTGCCAGGCAGCATGCTCCTCTGACTCAGGATGAATGTGGGGGAGGGTCCTGGACAAGGAAGCCCTAAACTTCTTAAGCTTCAGAGGGAAAAGGAGGCAGGAGGTGAGAACCCCTCCCTATTTTTAAAACACCTTAGGTAAATCGACGAGGTCCAAGCCCATTTTCAAAACAAGAAAAAAGAAAAACATTATGGACGTTTTAACCACTCCTCTGTATGGGAAGGACTGATGACAGCTGGAACTATGGTCTGTGGCATAAAGTGCTGTTTGTTAAAAGAAAACACTTGGATGAAAAGGAAATTCCTTGAATGTTAATTGTGACTGGAAACGTGTTAAAACTAGCCAAAGAGGACGCACTAGTGTTGGTCTCTGCCTTGCCTAACGTCTTTGATAAAACCCATAGGCACCAAAATCCTGACTGTTTACATTTCTTCAGGTTTGGGAATTACCCATCTGCTAAATCATTTGCCTTTTATTTCTGTCAAAGGCCAAACTGCATTGCAATCTAAGGCTGTGTTTCTCCCTACTAAATACAATGTGTTAAAAGCCCCCCCACCTCCACCTCGACTCCACCCCAAACGTAGCCCTTTTGAATTATAAGATCCTGGCACACATAATCCAGGGTAAAAATGTAGTCTGGCTCTTTGGGATGTGTTTCTGCAAAGGCAGAGGTGATGTCTTCTAGTTCATGATGTCTATTCATTGACTATCCAATGACAGTTAAGAAAAAAAAGGGGAGCTGCAGAATGAGGCACAGCCCGCTTTGCTGTTTTAACAAACATGGTAGTGTCAACTATAACTTGAAAGCAAAGATCTTTGCATAGAGTTTAGAGTTAAGTCCAGCACTATGATTAAAATCAACTGTGACCTTCAGGAATTTTACCCAGATCCAAGTCCAACTTCAATATCTTTGGCTGGAGATAAGGTTCTGGTTCAAGTAAACTGCAAGTGCCAATTAACTTCAAGTGCAAACACCAGTGTTTACTAGCTAAGGCCTCCAAAGGGGGGGGGCAATCTGATAGGCCACCGTGGGTAACCAAATAGATTAACCATGACAGAGAGCCATGGTAAAGACATATGAAAGTGAGCTAAGAACTTGAGTTGCTCCTGTCTGGCTGCCTCTCTGCTCGTGGCAGGGGAGATATAAGGGTGACATTGTCTCCTGTAGCTGGTGATAGTGCTGGGGGTGCTCAGTGTAATTGTTCCAGATATTTCAATAGGAACTTATCAGTTGTCGTAAGCTGTTTGGCCCGTGGAAGGAGCCTGCTGGCCCATTTCCCTGTGGAGCCCAGTACTTTCTGAGGAATGTGGATCTAATGTGTCTGGAGGAGGTAATGACAATGGGGTGTGTGTGTTGCCAGCGAGGTACAGAAGGCTGGTGTCAACTGAACTAGCGAGGGGCTGGCTCCCGTTTCCACAATGACATGCAAAGATAAGTTCGGGCCTTGGGAGTTCTTCCCTTGTGAGATCAGCTGTCTGAGTGCCCCCAACAGGAAGAAGCATGTCTTCCTGAACTACTCAGATCCACTGGAGTGTTTCCTTTTCACAGACTGTCCCAACACTGATGCTGCTGTGGAATTCTAACACACGTGTCTGTTCTCACATTTTCAAGTAAAATCGAAGTGAAAAGGTGGTTTTCTTAATTTCTTTTTAAAAGACCTTATTTGGTATAACTATGTTGCTGTTGTTGTTTAGTTTTTCGTCTGATGCAGAAAACATCCCCACACTTGGTCTTTCTGATGAGGAAGAGACCAAAAGAAACTCCCTGTCCTCAGACAATCATTTGATTCGGTAAACACAAAGCTTAATGACAGCTTTCCTTTAGAGGCAGAGGTAAAATCCTCATTAGAGTGTGACAAATGCCACCTGTCTGAATGATTTTTTGCTGGCAATGGGCTGATCTGGTGGTTTTTAAAATTATTGTGCTTTTTTCCCCTCCCCCCCAGGGTTGTAGGGGAGGTGGCCCTCGGACGTTTATTAACTCAGAAAGAACGTAGAAGTTGGCAGAGCGGGACTGCCTGGCAGAAAGGAGCTGTTTTTCTTTTGACTAATATTATTTTAAACTTTGATGGGTAGCTGACGTCAGCAAATATGCCTGAAACCTGCAAAGCAAATATGCCACATCACAGGAGGAAGGCCTGCGGGGTATGAGAACCTTCCCGGTCCCTACCACCTGAAGATGTTTCCTACTTAAAACTACAGGCATCTGGGGGGCTTTGCTTCTAGGACAGTCCAACGCATAGTCCAATCTGCTCTTTTTTTCTTTCATGCCAGTCAGTTCTATTCCTGAAAGATACTCTGTGTGAATAGGAGAAAGGAGAATTGTTGGTGGGAGGGGAGGCGATAGTTTCTTTTGTAAAAAGTTCTTGTCACAGTAGTGTGTGTAGGCTCAAAGTCTCGTTGATACTGAGCGTGTTCCATTTTCCTGCATAGGAATAGTTCTCGTGACACTAGGGGTGAGACGGCATCACAGCCACTGTCCCTGGAGGGGGACTCCTGCTCCCTGGCTGTTTTCAGGACCCCTTGAAATCAGTGAACTTGTGAAGGGAATGCCGTAAGGCTGCTCCCCAGCCAGCCCGTCTTCTGGAATTAGGAGATCCACTGTGGGTCTGTTCCTATGCATCCCGCTCCCGCTCACGGTGTGCTTCCAAACCCAGGTCCCATGTGGCCTTGCTCTGTTTGTTTACCTCATTATCTAAAATGTGGGTCTGAGGCCTCTGAGAGGATGGCTTAGTGGGTAAAAGACACTTGATCCGCAGGACCCACATGGTAGGAGAGCACTGACTCTGCAAGTTGGCCTCTGACCTCCACAGGTATGCCTTGTCATGCACCTGTGGCCACACACACACACACACACACACACACACACACACACACACACACAAAATGTAAAAGAGATGGTTATTATCATTATTACTTTTCTTTAGAAAAGCTACACAGTACAATCTTGATGAAAAACCTGAAAATAGCATAAATTTGGGAAAGAAAAGCCACACCCGGTCTCTTACCACTAAACACATATCATGGCCAAAATTTGCCAAAGTTCTCTTCAGGACTTTTTGTGCATCTTGAAGATTTTGCTCTGTTGTTACACAAAATCATCTTGATATGATTACATGCATGCTTTGCCCCCATACCTTGGCCAACCACTTAGGAGCAGATCCGTTCAGCTGGTAAGTACTTCCTAGTTTCGGTGACAGCTCACGTCATCAATCCCACTCGACCTCTGTGCTAAGCTTCTCCGTGAGTGCATCTGCTCTGGAGACTCTCCTCCCCCTCCCTCACAAAGATTGCCTGAAAGAGATTTCTCACATTAAAGAACAGACACATGTATAAGTAAACTTCATCCTTACTGCCACACTGCTCTTCAAACAATTCATTCTAATTAAAAGTAAGCTATACATAAGAGTACCCATTCTATCCTAGATGTCATTAGATATTGTTTCTGTTGTTAAAAAACAGTTTCATCAAAATTAATTTATTAAATCACATGGCCTCAAAATCGGGGCTGAGCATCACTATGCTAAAATACCTGTGTGTTTGTAACAAAGGTGTGCTAGCTGGTGGAGGTGTTTAGGGGGCTGGGGTGCAGCGCAGTGGTAGAGCTCTCCTGTAAATGCTCACGGCCCTGGCTTTGCTCAAAATCCACAATAACAATGAAAGCCTTTACCTAGAGCTAAGATGACTGGTAGGGAGCAGGGGTGTAGCTCAGCTGCTAGAATTGCCCAGCAGGTAGGAGCTCTGGGTTTGATCCTCGGCATTATGTGAAAACAGGCATACTGATTCATGCCTGTAATCCTAGCATTCAACAGGTGGAGGAGGAGGGTTAAAGTCATACTCACAGTGAGTTTGAGGCCAGCCTGGGCTACATGAGACCTCATCTTAAAAAAAAAAAAAAAAAAAAAAAGGAGGGCATAGTGTTCTCTTCATTTTTTCTTCCTTCTCTGGGCAGATTTACCCACTAGCAATCTTGTCTCCCATCAGAATTGGCTAACGATGTGAGGATAGGAGGGGCCAACTCTCCATAGGAGCAGGGCGAAGAAGATAACAGAAGAACTAGAGTTATAAAAACAAACAACTACCTTTTTCATCTGAATCTAGCGGGACAGTGATTCTTAAGAGGTGATGTCATGAAACCATTTGTATTTCTCTTTATACATCTCTACCGAAAATTAAACCTAAACACAATAAACACACAGGCCAAGTTGCTAATTAACAGCTGCTAACAGTTTAGATTCGTCTGGGGTTTTCTTTCTAGCTAGGACATTGCACTTGGGCTCATTCTTCAATTCTTTTTAATTTTTAGTTACCGTGTATCATTCAGTTCTTAGACTAGTCCCCCCCTTTTACATTGATTTATTATTATTATTTTTTGTTTTTCGAGACAGGGTTTCTCTGTGATTTATTATTTATTTTGGGAGAGACACATGCCAAGGTATGAATATGGAAATCAGGACAAATTGTGAGAGTCCCTTTTCTTCTTGCGCCATGCGGGTTCTGGTGTAAGTCAGGTTGTTAGGCTTGGCAGAAAGCATCTCTACCCACTTAGCCATCTTGCCAGCCCATTCTCAAATTCTTTTTCTTTTGTTTGTTTGCTTGTTTTCCAGACAGGGTTTCTCTGTGTAGCCCTGGCCATCCTGGAACTCGCTCTGTAGAGCTGGCCTTGAACTCAGAGATTCACCTGCCTCTGCCTCTGGGATTAGAGGTGTGTTCCACAGTGTGGAGATGTTTGCCCAATCCACCTCCTTACAGGAAGGAGAGAGGGTGAGTGGGGAGGCCACTGTTGTTGGAATTCTTCCAAGAGGTTACATCGTGGGATGGCATGCGTTTCCCTGAGTTCCTCTTGTGAGGTGGACCTTTTGATCTCCACCTTTTACAAAGAAGCTAAGTTTGTCTTTCTGATCAATAACTGATATGAGATTCCATCCCAACCCTACCTCACAGTCAGTGCACTGTTTAGTGCACACACCAGACACCTGCACAGACAGAAAGGAGTCCTCAAAGGTCCCAGTACTGGAAAGGCTTAGCCATTAGCAAAGTTTTGTGTGTCATTTCCCCCAGGGAGGCAGAATCATCTCCCCCATATCCCAGAGCTAGTAACTATCTATCAGTTGAAGATTTAGCACAAGACAGAGGTGAGAAATTCCCAATAAATATGTGAGTGGCTACGAGAAATAGAAAAAAAGATGGGCATAGTGGTACACGCCTTTAACCCCAGAGCTTTAGGCAGGCAGATCTCTGTGATTCTGAGGCCAGCCTGGTCTATGTAGTGAATTCCAGGACAACCAGAGCTACACAGAGTGAGACTCTGTCTCAAAAACAAACAAACAAATCAACAGAAAGACAAACAAAAAAAGGAGAAGGAAGGAAGAAGAAAGGACGGAAGGAGGAAGGAAGGAAAGAAGGAAAAAGGAAGAAAGGAAATGAAAGAATTTTCACAAAAATTAACATGGACATATTACTATGGAGGTTTTGACTGAATGCCCCAAGTGGGTAGCTGTCCTACAGAGCAGAGCTGAGTGGTCAACCACATGAAGTCCTTGGTGGCCCCACCCCAAGCTGTACCAGAGCTGTCTCTAGCTTTGTAGTTTTATTGAAAGGGTCTCTTGTAGCCCAGCCTAGCTTTGAACTCTCTATATGGCCAAGAGTGACTTTGAACTCCTAACCCCACTGCCTTCAGCTGAGTACTGGAAGTATGGGCATGTAACACTCTGCCAGTTTATGTGGAGCTGGGGATAGAACCCAGGGCCTCCTGCATGCCAGGCAAGCACTCTACCCACTAAGCCAAACCCCCAGTCCACCCAGCACTTTTTGTTTTTGTTTTTTGAGACAGGATTTCTCTCTGTAACAGCCCTGGCTGTCTTGGAACTCCCTCTGTAGACCAGGCTGACCTTGAACTCACAGAGATCTGCTTGTCTCTGCCTTCCACATGCTGGGGTTAAAGGCATGTGCCATCACTCCTCAGCCCCACTGAACACTTTTAACTGAGTCTTTTCTGGTGAGCTGCTGCATACAGGAATCTTAGGAAAGAGACAAGGGTAAGAGTTACTGTGCCCCTGTTCCCATGCATTTAAGCCTGTGCAGCTGAGTTAAGGGCATCTTTGGGCATATGGCTCCCACTGCACATGTGGACATGAGGCTTAAAGACCACTGTCCCATCTTCTGCCACTTTATCCACTCCTTTGCAAATGATCCACACATGTGTAGGATGTACCTAGAGCTTTTAGGATGACATCCACATTTTTTAGCAGGATTGAAGTTGTTGGTTTTCCATCTAATGGCCCTTTTCTCAGGCCAACATGACCCTCAGTAAAGACTGCAGAAGTGAGTCGATCCTACTTCTTCATTCGGATCACACCTCAACCCCCACTGACGCTCAGGGACACACCTCTATCTTATTTGACTTTACTGCATGTTCCCTGTGTCAGTTGGCATTCCGTTAATGTAACAAAATGCTTTGAGGAATCAACTTAAAAGGAGAAAAGGATTATTTGGGTTTCCAGTTTTGAGCATTTCAATCCATGGCCAGTTTTGGACTGCTATGGAGGCAGCACATTGTGGCAGGGAGGTCATGATGGAACAAACGGTTCAAACTCATTACCAGGAAGTAAAAATGAGAAAGGAAATCTCAC